ACCCGCCTCATGTGGAAGCTTGCTTTCTTATCGAGCATTTCAAAACTGACAGTTCGCATTTTCCATTTTCTCACCTCCACAGTCGTTTCAATAAGTCATTATCGTGGGCAGTAATGGAAGAGAAGATGAAACAGCTTTCTGGTGCGTTTGCGGTGAAATGTCACAGAAATGAGCTAATCGGCTTCGCCATGTCTGTCTTCTATCCCGTCTGTCCACATGCAACCTGAACCGCTGGACGGATTTTCAAGAAATTTTACGTTCATAACTGAACATAAAAATTAGAATATATAAAATTATAATTTTGCCTGTGGTTCTGTATGGGTGTGAAACTTGGTCTCTGACATTAAAGGAGGAACATAGACTGAGGGTGTTTGAGAACAGGGTGTTGAGGAGAATATTTGGACCGAAGAGAGATGAAGTGACAGGAGGTTGGAGAAAACTGCATAATGAGGAGCTTCATGACGTGTACTCTTCTCCAAGTATAATTAGAATGATCAAGTCAAAGAGGATGAAGTGGGCAGGGCATGTAGCACGAATGGGGGAGACGAGGAATTCGTATATGGTATTGGTGGGAAAGCCAGAAGGAAAGAGACCACTGGGAAGACCAAGGCGTATGTGGGTGGACAAAATTAAAATGGATCTTAGAGAGATAGGATGGGATGGCATGGATTGGATTGGCAGGATAGGGACCAGTGGAGGGCTCTTGTGAACACGGTAATGAACCTTCGGGTTCCATAAAATGCTGGGAAATTCTTGACTAGTTGCAGAATTTGCAGCTCCTCTAGAGGGCTCAGCTCCATGAGTAAGTAAGTTAGTAAGTAAGTAAGTAAGTAAGTAAGCAAGTAAGTAGTTTAACTGAATATTTGTATATGCATTCGAACTTCAGTTCAAATCAGAAAACAACGGGCACTTTACAATGTACAGTGTCCGTTATACGTCAAGTTTACGTGAAGACCTACAGGAATTTCCTTACACGTCTCGAGAGTAGCTGGCGTGTGTACATCTAAATACTTAGCAGGGCGAAAAATGTCGCGAAATAAAGTTGCAGAAGAGCAAAACGAATTTTATACTGGTACACCTTTTCTGTAAATCGCGGTTTTCGGGGAGATCGAAACTTTTACCCCACGCTTACATCACCTCAATCACTCACCCACTCATGGAGCTGAGCGCTTCTCAAGAAGTCGTCAACTTTGCAGCCACTCACGAACTTCCCAGCATTTTATGGAACCCGAAGGTTCACTACCGTGATCGCAAGAGCCCTCCACTGGTCTCTATCATGAGCCAGATCGATCCAGTCGATACCATCCTATCTAAGATCCATTTTAATATTCTACACCCACCTACGTCTTGGTCCTCCCATTGATCTCTTTCCTTCTGGCTTTCCGACCAATATCCTACATGCGTTCCTCTTTTCCCCCATTAATGCTACATGCCCTGTACAACTCATCCCCCTTGACTTGGTAATTCTAATTATTCTCGTTGCCTCGTAAATTTGAGAACTGTATGAACTGTCCCAGATGGAGCACATTTCAGTTGTACGGTTGTATATGCGCGAAGGAATCTCGTTTCGGATGCATTTTGGAGTAAAAGTGACCCAGGTGGTTGTTTCAGTGGATCTGAGGGTACAGTGAGTCATACACCGTCCACACAATGAGCAACATGCAAAGGTCACGATGCCCTTGAACTCGATATAGCGAGAACACTGAACCGGCTCAGCTTGATCATTACTAGCTTTGTCAAACGAATACTACACTATTTACCATTAATCAGCAATAAAATGTTCATTTCATGAGTGTCCGTGCTTATCCCAACATATTTTGAGCACCTTGACAGATTATTTCCATATTTTTTACAAGAAAGCATTGTCACTGGGGGGCCTACTTCTGGCTGAGTTTCCTATTACCATCAGCACCAACACAGTTGTCATGCTGAGATAAACAGAGGATCTACACGTAAATATCCTGATTAAAGCTTTGCCAGAGGACGAGCCAGAATGTGTCTTCGCCAGTTAGTGACGTTTACAGTCACGTCATCTTTAAAAAATTATTAGATTGTATTTTCATCATAGTTCTGGTGGGTAATTCCGCCATTCGCCTGCGTTTGCTCTTCTTCGTCTGCTCCACACAAGGCCGCATACATTTACGTTCGGTTGCAGCTACTCATAAATGCCTCCTATCGGACACATCTATGGGTCATTCCATGTGAAGTCATCCAGATAGGTCGCTCGACCATTTAAAAAATATATGTTGTACACTTATTTCTACATATTTTCATACTTCAAAAATATTTTTTTAAAAATTTTAATCCCCTCGGTTTTCCCGGTACAGCACTTTATATAATGCGAAAAAACGCGTTTTCGGCTGAAATGGAGGTTTGCGTCATCTTCTATATCTAGATAACTATTGATGCTAGAGACTCCAAAAAGAATCCAATTTGTTCCTCATGATATGGACTACAATTCATATTATCACAAGTTTTTACTCAACTCATATAAGTCTATAAGTAAGTTTCAAGCTTAATTAGACCTAGAGAAAGTGAGTTGAGTAAAAACTTGAAATAATATGAATTGTAGTCCATATCATGAGGAATAAATTGCTTTTCATTGGAGTCTCTAGCTTCAACAGTTATCGAGATACAGAAGATAACGCAAACCTCCATTTCAGCCAAAAACGCGTTTTTTCGCATTATAAAAACGGCTGTACAGGAGAACCGAACGCATTAAATTTTTTAAAACTGTTTTTGAAGTATGAAAATATGTATAAATAAGCGTACAAAGTATATTTTTTTTTAAATGGTCGAGCGACCCATCTGAATGACCGCTGTGCATGGTTTTATGGCGGTGTGTGTAAAACTGTGTGCCCTTGTCCTTCACTGAATTCATAATGTTTAAACCCGTAAAAAAATTTTCATGTAACTTGCGTTTAGGATTGGTTAACCTAAGAAACTACACATACCTCAGACATGTACCTACATAGCAACTTGCATGTAGAGCAAATTCCTTCAGTGTGGCTCATAGTAGATTAAGTAATTTACTCCAAAGACGCAATACACGTTCCAGTATTTCTGTGCGCGATAAAAGTAGCTGATATATATTTTTTTTATTTTCAAACTCTCTTCTTGAAAGAAAACATGAATATCTCAAATGCCTTCAGAAATCCAGAATTTGTTACAGGATTTTCTCTTAGACGTGACTGTTTTCTCTACAAATCGCAAAGAAATTGTACGAAACACTTATAGCCAGCTACAAATGCGGCAGGTTTTTAGAAAAATTTCAGCATTCTATGTTTTTACTATATACAGTAGTGGATAAATAACGAAACTTAAAGCTGCATTCATAAAACTAAAATATATATTAAATGCCCCGTAAGATATCAAAATGAATAATTTACATCAAGTGTAGAACTATTTTTCGAGCTCCGAAAAGAGGGGGGGGGGCGGGGAATAGCCATTCTTTATCCTGAAGTCCCGTCCAGAGCACACAGCTCTTCTGCTGCCGCAAAGGCTGGGTAATAACGCGCATTAGATTTTTGAGAAATCAACAGAAATAAGACAAACACTACTCTTGCTTCCGTGTAAAATTATTACAGACGATTTTGTTTTAGTTTCTCCGTTTTATGGCAGCAGAACAGTATTTACAGATACAATTTTGTGAACCGTTTCGTGACTGTTATCACCAGGGCCCGGATTTTGATGACGTCATCTTTTTTTTTTCCTTGTATCCTATGCGATGCTCTTAAATATATAAACTTCGGATATGAGCTGCTGGTTACAGAAATGTAAATTGTATAGGTAATTTTTTGTCATTTTTTGACATTTTTAGGTATAAGGTAATTTTTTGGTAAATTTTTGGACTTTTAAGGGTATTTCTTGTCATTTTTGGCCATTTTAGGGAATTTTTCTTCATATGTTTTCTGAAATGTGAATAACATGGAAGCGAAGTGTTCTTTCTTTTCTCCTTTAGGTCATTTTTCTGGATTTTTCGGTCATTTTTTAAAATATTTTCAGGTCATCAAAATGCGGGCCCTACATATTACATTTTTGCGTCATATTTTAGGTCATTTTTAAAATATTTTCAGGTCATCAAAATCCTGGCCCTGGTTATCACTGACTCGGTCATCCTATGAATGCTGATTCATAGGAGCGTCATTTGGAATACCTCTCTCAACACACTGTCTATACTAATTAAGATGCACGCTGGTTCCACGAGTGACATGCATATAACTCACTATATTCGAAAGGCCCGGTAAACCGGAATTAGTTTTTTAGTGATTGTCTTCAGTACCTCTATAAGAATGTACAAAATTTCACGAATTCCACAAATGTTTCCTTGCAAATCCTTTTCAAAATTCATCTTCCACGCCCCGGCGACCATTTAAAACTAGAGGCCCATTATCTACGCAAATGAACAGATGTGTTAGTTGAGCAACATTTTTAGATCTGGCAATTCTGTTAGCAAGAACGATCTCTGAAAATTATAACACATTATCAGATGTGATATGAAATTAATTCTCTCTCTCTCTCTGACATACCTGAGATATTGGACTATGAAAAAAAAACCTCTGTGGCTTGTAGTCCGCTAGCGAACTATACCGACCGAGCGACTGCCGCTTGTCGGCGAAGTTAGAGACAACGTGGTCAGCGCAACGGATCTCCACGGCCGTTAATCTCAGTTTTCTAGATCGGAGCCACTATTTCCTTGAAATAACTCCTCAATTATCTTCACGAGGCTGAGTGGACCCCGTTCCAGACCCACTCCTCAGAAAATTTGGTAACGCCGTGAATCGAACCCGGGACCTCTGGATCTGTAGCCAGGAACTCTGACCACTAGACCACAGAGGCTATGACTGATATGAAAAGCTAGAACTGTGCTGACAAACCCACAATAAAAGCATATATGAACATCAGCGTCACAGCTATCAAAATAAACTTTCAATTTCGATACAACCCAGCCAAACATTAGGATTGAATTCTGCTTGGGGCAATGTTGACAGAACACTCACAAGGTCGGTGCTCATGGTGTTGCAGGATCTCAGAGGCAGGCGATAGCGTACGGGACTACGTTGGTGTATGAACTCGGACATGCAGCTGGAGTTTTTGCTGAGACCTTTGGGGTAGATCATCCCGTTGAAGGCTCCGGACCGCATCTTCACGGCAACCCAGATCTCGTTACTGTTACAGTCTATACGCACTTGCTGTGCCGCCTCGGGCGCACCTGCAACAAGGCAAATATCATTTCAGCATCTACAATAATTCCTCATTTTCGGGTGCTTTTAACAAATCGCAGAATCCAATGACGTAAATGGGTTATTTAAAACTTTTAAGTTACATATTGTGGCTTATTTGCCCCATGCAAGAACTGCTGAGTCACAGAAACAGCCGGGGCTGTGTAATACACGCACGCAACAATAGAACAACGGGATTGTGCAACCCGTTTCTAGGCAACAACTCAGCAAACACGTTCAAACGTGCAATAATGGAAACTGTGTCTCAATGAACGAATGTTACAGCGCGTTGCTGGGCAGTACTAAGCGCGCCAATGTGCTGGCTGGGTAGCAATCACGTGACTTGAGTTTTCTGTGTGGTCCATGCGGAGCCTATACAACGAGAATCTGTATGTCATCTCTTTAATAAGCAACCTTGCGTGTTAATAATCTTGTGTTCAACGAAATCTCCAGTATGGCGATTCTGTTGTAGCGGAAGCTACTAAAAAAGGGGCATAATCCGCTGTACTGAGCCTGGACAGCCAGAGGCCCTGTATATATTCTATATATATTTATCAACATGTTTAACATGTAAAATGTAAACATCCTTTACATTATGACAAATGACTTTCTACTATGGACAATGACTCTGGCAAAAGACAGACCCGTCCTCTCGTCAGAGAGGGCGCCCCATCATAACAAGACCTAAACTGTCAAACAATAATAAATATCTGGTCATGAGCCCCAGATTAGGCTCGACACCAAGACTGGCTGACTGACTGACCGTCAGTCGCAATGTGACTTTGACTTTGCATAGATTAGCGCAGTGTAGGGCAGCGGAGGGTACAATGACGAGAATGGAGCATGTCCTTAGTAAATTGTGGAGATTAGTTGAGTGCAGATTAGGACAAAGGAATACAGAGCGATTATAGACGAAATAACAAGAAAACTTCATAGTGATGAAGTGCTACTTTCTGTGTTGACATCCGTTGCCAGGAGACGACGGGAGAATCGTAATGCGCATACAACGGTGAACTGAGAGTGTGTAGAAAAGCGACAGAGTTATAATTGAGTGTCATTAAGAGAACTTGCAAATGAAATGCCAATAAATCCAATCATCCCACGCGTTATCTTCGTCACGCGTGCCCCCTACACGTGACAACACGAGCATTTATCTCATAAAATGGCCACCTCTAATGTGTGGAGATTCACATTTCTTTTTGTTTTTCTTACTTTACGATGCTGTCAGTGCCTAGAATACAATGTTGAATGACAAAACGACGGAAGAACTGGGAAGGGTTTAGGGACCGAGGAAATTCACGACGAACCTGTCAGAATATACTGCGACATTAAGCCTGAAAGCTAGAGCGGACGTCCATTGCTGAGCAACGGCTCGAAATCACGTTCCCGCTAAAACGAATATAACAAACGAGTCGTTATTAGGTAGCAAGTCGCTAAACACAGACTCCCGTGACGATAGAATAACAGAGGAACTGTTCGACAAGGTGACTTACATTCAGGCCGCCTGGAAATTAGTTCAGTCCAGGAGATTTCAGTCGCGAGTCGTAACAGAGTTTTCTGAGTTCAATGTGTGAGCAGAGACTCGTCGTTCGCCATTCGTCACAGTGGGAGAGAAGATGCAAGGAATGGAGCGAGTCGTAGACTGTCATAACTGATTGTAATTGTAAAGAAGTTCCAATAAATCTAATCATCGAATCCAGAACCCATTATTATTATTAGTCACGCTAACGCCTCATAAGTGACAAGTCATGTGCCCAGTGTATCAAAATGTAATACATAATTGGAAGAAAAATAGAATGGAACTGGATAATTAAACAAAAGAACATAAGATTACGTATTAAGGCACTCCAACATACATGCATCGCGAAAATCCCAAGAAGACACAAAGAAGAGCATGAAGAAACAAAATACGAGTAGTTCGACAAAAGAGATACCCGGTTAAGCAACACGGTGAAAGGCTAGAGTCGGATGGGTGACCGCACGGTTTGACTCTACCCTCTTACTGCGTAATATACCAAATGGAAGCGATACCGATTTCACGAACTACAAATATAAGCGACATACGGTCATTCACCACATCGACTCCGTTGATGGAGACCGAGATCTTTGAAACGCTGCTTTTTAGTTGAACATTGATACGGCTGATCGCCCGCGAATATTTCAACACAGATTATACTCGTTTAAAATTTAACGGTAAATATATGAACGTGTGCATTGTACTCAATTCATAGCAACGCAATAAAATGTACCATCTTCAGCGACAGTAAAACCGACAGACCACAAGCATCACATTCATAGTCCCGAATAACATCCCACAAATGAAAGATAGGCAACTTCTTGTTCGGTTCTTAAGATGTCAGGATACAACTGTGAGGAGGCAGGAACAACTGGCTCTTAGCCGGAGACACAACTGCCACGTATCAGGATAAAACCGAAGCGCACACACGTATAAAATGAGTGATTATGTAGACCACGTACATACTGTCACGTGTTAGAGTGACTGTAGATGGGGTTTTGGTTTGGATACTGGATTTACTGACCACTTATACACATAACTCTGAATTACAAGTAATCACAGTGTCATCGCTAAACTCCACATTTTATAAATCACCACAGCACACGCTAAGTCTTTTCCAGCCTGCTTTGTCTTCACCAGCCGTTCCCTGGCAACAGCTTTTAACAATGTAGATTCCTCAGCTTCCGCGCTCAAGTCATCTCTTCACAGTCTCCCGTACAGAAATGACTAGATTGCCCCAACTGTCTTCCTTATAACCCGTTTGCACGGACCGAGTAGAAAATACCGTTTCCAACAGCACCACTATTGTTTCATGCGTATCCATTGCTGCGGAAACGTGTTTACCGAGCCTTTGACTAGAAACGGCTCTAGTATATTTGCTTATCTCGCGGTCGTCGCATAGTAACGGATCTACACGCTACAATACTTTTAAAGCAAAGAAAGATTCGAGCAAGCTCAATGGATTATGTCGCGGCAGAATGTTTCAAGAATAACATACAAAGTTACCGTAAACGGCCATTCGAAACTTGAATACAAAATATGAAATGTATGAATTCATACAACAATCATCAAATCGCATCGATATACGTATCGTAGTATAAAGAGATTAGGCGTGCTTCACTTCAGTGAACACGGGCGGACAATGGGCTGGTCAGTGGCATCTATACTTTCAGATTCAGCATCGAATAACTAAAGAAATAAGGGCTAAAATCATCATTCATTGCCGTATTCGCCGGCCCTTATTCCCTTGCGAAATTTTCTGTTTACTCGCATTGTGGATTATCTTTTGCAATTTGTAATCACATAATAATCTTAACAATGACATGCATGATACAGTCAATTCCTTTTGACTGAACTCGTGTCCCTGTTGTATATTAATAACACCCTATGCACTTACCACAACAAAAGTTCTTAGATTCGATAGCAGCTAATGAACTCAAACCAAATTGTTGTGGGAAGTGTAGATGATTGAGTAGAAGCAGTAGCCTTTGTTATAGTCTGTATGAACTTGCTCTTAACTATGGTTTTTATATGTACCCGTACTTGAGAAATCGTAAGTGAAAATTTAGAGGCTGAATTAATAATCAGAAATTATATGAAATGAGTATTATTAAAAATCATTTACTATTTCTTAGTCCAGTTACTTTTCCATCACCTATTCTATGCGGATAAACAATTAAAGTAACATGTGCTTGTATTTTATTTTTAAGGACCTCAGTTGGAGTACTCCTGGACGAGATTTCAGATGACCCGCAAGATAAACACTTCTCAAGCCAGCGCATGCTTACAAGAAGAATGCACTCACATTTCCACTCACTCACGGAGCTGAGCCCCAGCTGCTCAAAAACTTCCCAGTATTTTATGGAACCCGGAGGTCCATTACCGTGTTCACAAGAGCCCTCCACTGGTCCCTATCCTGAGCCAGATCGATCCACTTCATACCATCTGATTCTATATCTCTAAGACACATTTTAATATTATCCACCCACCTACGTCTTGGTCTTGATAGTGGTCTCTTTCCTTCTGGCTTTTCCACCAATATCCTTTATGTATTCCTACTATCTCCATTCGTGCTACATGCCTGGCCCATTTCATCCTCCTTGACTTGATTATTCTCATTATACTTGGTGAAGAGTACAAGTTATGAAGTTCCTCATTATGCAGTTTTCTCCAGCCTATCGTCACTTCATCTCCCTTTGGTCGAAAATATATCCTCCTCAGCACCCTGTTCTCAAACATCCTCAGTCTAGTTCCTCTCTTACTATCAGAGACCAAGTTTCACACCCGTACAGAACCAAGGCAAAATTATAGTCTGGTATATTCTATTTTTTATGTTTTTAGGCAGCAGACGAGAAGACAGAAGGTTCTGGACTGAATGGTAGCAAAAATTACATAAATTCAATCTCCTCTTAATTTCCTCCTGAATCAAGTTTTGATTTGTTATAGTCTCTCACAATAGTCGCATATCGGTTTACCATTCATCCGTTACATAAATCCAAAATGAAAAAGAAGAGCTCTCAGCTGACGCATAATAAATGTGGGTTATTCTGTGTCCATCCAAGGATATTCGTTGCCAGTGTAACATGCAACATGATGTGTGCCCGGCAGAGGGTGACATCTCAATTACAATAATCAAGATAAAACGTAAACTACGCTGCGTAGTTTTGTAGGTTCTAAACCTGAATTCTTACTTTTATTCGTTCCCTGCGTTCCGTTCCTTGGCTCTCGACATGCTATGATGACGAAGATACGTCTACCATGAAAAATCAGACAGCAGAGTGCAGCTTCGAAATGAAGGCCAACCAATTAGGCCATCTCTGCTTAATTCCCGCTTATTCAAATAATCTTTCACCAAACAGTTGTCCTGCTGGGGGGGGGGACCCATCATTTAACTTTCATGATGAACTGCATAAATTTTGGTTTAGACTGATTTCCCAGTTACGGGTCGTTGATCAGAAATTAACAGGAAATGAA